TGTCCCATGCTTATGAACATGATATCTCAAGAACACCTCAAGGGATTTTCTTCAGATTTGGCACAAACGTACACTTGGGCTCAACAATGAACTGATTAGTTTTTGATGGTCATAGATCAAAGGTAAAGGTCAGTGTGACCTTGTCTGCTTCATTTTTGTGAATGCAGTATCTCAACAACGCCTCAGAGGAATGTCTTCAAATGTGGCACAGATGTTAGCTTGGACTCAACAATAAACTGATTAGTTTTTGGCGGTCAAAGGTCAAGGTCAGTGTGACCTTACACCTGTTTCATTGTTGTCATCCCAAGAACCCCTTAAGGGAATTTCTTTAAATTTGACACGGACGTCCACTTGGACTGAAGAATAAACTGATTGGCATTTGGTGGTCAAAGGTCAAGGACAGTATGACCTCACAAAATATGTGTTTGGCCATAACTCAGGATTTAATATGCTTATATGACAAAACTTCACACAAATGTCTAGTAGGATAAAATAATGAAGTGATGACATTTTATTTCCAAAGGGTCAAAGGTCAACTTCACTGTGACATCATAATGTTCTGCAAAAACACTTTTCTGACCATTACTCGATGTCATAACTTAGGAACAGAAGGTGAGATGTAGGGTTGTCACGATACTAAAATTTCAAACTCGATATCAATACCCAGGAAAATATTCAATACTGGATACCATTTTCGATACAGCAGCAAAAAATTAAGAGGCATGTCATTTTTTAAATAAAGATCAGAACAGTAACATCAATGATAACAACAAAAAATCCCCCCAAAATAAATAACAACCAGAAACAAGATCTGTCCATACAAATGTATTTATGTACAGCCCTGTTTATTTTCTGTGCTTCTGGTGAATTGGCACCATATTTTCATTGCTGATCAAATAGAGTTGTAGTTTAGGCTCAGGATGCTCCTGTTTCTACCTCACTATGTGATCAGAGAACCAGGGCTTATGGGAGAAACCAAACGTTTTTTCAGCTTCAATCTGTGACTTTACAGTTAACATAACTTCTCAGACACACATAATTGTGTTGTCCTGTTAAACTAACATTGTCTATTAATGTTACAGACGGGCATGACTGATAAAGTTTTCTACTTAGCTCCCACATTATCGTTAAGCTTCATTTTATTTTATTTTGATGCTGGCGACACCAGCTGCTCAGCTGCTAGTGAGGGGAGGGGCTGTACCTGCCGTCTGCAGCGTGCTGTGTTCACTTCACTAAATATTTCCAAAGAGCGCTTTTTCCTTTATCATTTTTGACCAAAACTGGCTGCTCTGATCCTCCTGCAGCCGCGCTGGCCGTATTACAGCAACAGAAATGTGTGCATGCATGCACAGCGACGACAACAAGCCGGGTTGCAGCGAGGGCTCTGTGCCTGCCAGACGCTGCCTGCACAGCACGTGTCTGTCGGACCCTTCGCACGCACCCGACAAGCGCTGAGGTGGCGTGCACTGTTAGTATCGATACTTTTGTAAATTAGTATTGTATCCGGATACAGGGTTTGAGTATTGATACTTTTGACAACCCTAGTGAGACGTTTGATCACACATTGAATTGGTGACACTAATCCTGAAATTGTGCTGATTGTATAGATTTTCTGTGTTGTCAGGGGGAAGATGTGTTTGAAGCATCCATGTTTTCACAGACAGGGATGCAAACTGTAAGAAAACTTTGACTTGTACAGGGAGGCATACAACCACAGGGCCGTAATTCTAGTTTTTATTATTATAATTATTATGGTATGGAGCAACAGAAGAAAGTGATTTTTTTTTTAAACGTTGGAGGATGAAAATCCGACAAAGTGCTCTCACCTACAAAAATAAACAGCATGTAAGGAAAACAGAATTTAACAGTCTAAGCTCAAATATGACGTACTGTCCATTTTTAAAGTCCTCTTATGGTTTTATTGCTGCTAAATGTAATGAGATAAGCAGCAAGATTCTGAAGGAAAAGAATGAATCATAGTACAGTAGTTGGGATGTGGCTATGTGGGTTGAATGGGTTAAAATGGTGACTTTTCTGGCACATTAGCACTTGGAAATAGGACAGTAATGTATCTTGGCATGGTGGCCACACATCAAACTGTGATGACACCTGTTGCTGCCGCCTGCTGTGTGCCACCGGCTACTTACCAGTTGTCAGTGTTGCATCATAGGTCCAGAATTTATAGTCATACATTTTTCACCAGGAGCTTGTTATTTTCTGGAACACTTTTGGTGGCAGCAACAAATTTATGTGACCTGCCTTTGTGGTTTTGATTAAATTGTCATACACGCCTGGCTATTATTACTTAGTTATATCACTCATGGTATTTTTGACAACTGAAACATAACAGATTTTGAAATTTTCATACCTGGGCTCTACAGTGAGCACGGTTACATGCGCACAATAATCAGACAACTGGGAATAATCAGGTAATGGTAATAATCCGATTTGACACGTTTACGTGCACTTCAATAATCTGATAATCAGAAAAACCTGGTTTACATGATTGAGTCCTTCAGTTGGATTTCTCCCCAAGTACATGACATAAAACTCAAACTTCCTGTTACAGTAGGTACTCATATCCTATCAAGTCATATATTTGCAAAATAAAGCACTCATCATGCTGACAGCTTATATTCTTACAGTACTGTTTGTTTTTATTATTAACAAATACATGTGAGAGCATTCTAATGTATAGTTTATCAATGTGGAGCCAATTTTACACACTTTGGGTAGATTCGGAGTAAAAGTACTGCAAAGTGCAATATACAAGTGTATTATATATAAACTTGTCACACAAAGTGCATAACATATAAGTAAGATAAAATAAAAGTGACAATTTAAACACTGAGAATATAAAAATATATTATTTTCTGTAAAATCTTTATATGAAAGGAAAGAAAAGCTGTCAGATTAACGTAGTGGAGTAGAAAGTACAATATTTCCCTCTAAAATGTAGTGGAGTGGGAGTATAAAATAGCAAAACCCGAAAGAAACCAGATTAAAGGGTATACATGCACCGAATAATCTGACTATTGGGGAAAAAGCTAGATGTGTTTATCTGATTTTTCATAATCAGATAATGGCTTTTATCTGATAAAGCCTATCGGATTATGCCGTTTACATGACCACTTGAATAATCAGGTAACTCCAGAAATCAGATAATGATCGGTTTATTAGTGTGCATGTGAACGCGCTCAATGACCAACCAAAATCATGGTACTGGAATGATGAAGATATGTCTCCTCTGATTAAATTGTGATTTTGTAGTGCAGAAAATATGCAGCTCCAAGCAGCAGTAGCTTGGTCCTGGAGGTGGACTTGCTCACATCGCAGGCCACATTGAGGTTAAACCATACTGGGCTAGAGCTTTCCTTCTGAATTCAGGGTTTCACACACATTAATTTATTTGTGGTGCCCCGCCACGATTAAAACATCTGCTGCCACTAGGGCTGTCAACGAACATTCTAAATTCGAATTTAAATTCGAATTTGGAAAAAAAAATGGACCTTCAAATGTGAAAATTGCTATTCGATTGTGGAGGGGAAAAAAAAAAAAAAAAACACCACCGCAGCTGTCCTCTTTTCAAGTGGGCGTTGGCCTTGGCCGCTGCACTGAACGCATTGCTTGACACATTCGCTCGCGGCTCGCGCAGAAAATAGACCAGACGCCAAAACGATCGCTGCAGGGCGCGAGCCGGCCACGGTGTGGATGACACAATCGGTTAACATGGGCGCCGAAAGGAAACTGGCTCCGCTTCGAGGCTATTCACAGCGCTTCCGCGGGCAGTGTGGCTCTGGCGTGACGGGTCAGAGAAGGGGGGCGAGCGAGAGGTCCACGGTCGTTGATAACGTAATGTTATAGATAATTGTTTTATGTGTTTTAATGTGTAGGTATGTAAATGTTTTCAAAGATGTTTATGTTGAAATAAAAATACCTACAAGTAGTTATGTTTCCTTGTATTAATACATATACAAGTATGTTTCCTTGTATTAGTTTGCCCTCTTGTGGACATAATGTGAAAAAAAAAATTTGAATGGTTCGATCCTATGAGTTATATTTAGAAGGAATATTCGAACGTCATTTTTGAGCAATTTTGACAGGTGTAGCTGCCACATTTTGATTTTCTATTTTTGGAGCTGTACCATTCAGTAGGCACACTGCTGGAATATATACCGTTCAGTTATTTATTGCTTTATTACTTATTGTTTTTTATTGCTCACAGCACAGAGAGTACTCTAGGCACAGACAGAGCAGCAGATCGCCAGGCGCAGTGAAAGTAAAACTTAACTGCTCATTGTGTTGGGTCTAAAGTCTGCTTTCACTCACAAACAGCTGCTCCTCTCATCCATCCATTTGATCTGATCAGCATCGATCGAATGAGCGATCAGTAAAAAAAAAAAAAAGTAGAGTTTCGCCTGTGCTGCGTTCACAGATCTGCAAAAACCTTCAAATTTTGAGAAGGGACACAGACTGATAAACAAGGACCCAAACTCCTCCAACCACCTCAGCTGTCACCACACCTAGATTCTAATTCTGTTGACAGCTTGAACATTTAAAATTTGAAGGCATCTACTGAATCAGTAGTGTGGTCCTGCTCTGATTCAATACATGTCTTTGTCAGAGAACTGACTTCAGAGCTGTCTCACTTCGTTTTGGCTCTTACCAAGAAACCATCAACTTCGATTTAAATAGCTGCTTGACTAAAGCGCCATAGATGAACATCAGGTTGCGTTATGTTTTTAATCACCATTAAATGTGAGTGGCTGCATTATTCTAAAGCCTGGTGTGTTTGCTGCACCAAGCTGACTGCTGGGATTGGTTACAGCTGTGGGGCTCAGCAGTACTCACAGTAGAGTCATGTGCTGTGGTGGCGATTTTGCGTTGTGTCAAAATGTGTTGAAAAGCTTGTCTCAGTCTGCTCAGTGCTACCTTCATCAGCATCTGGCACCCAGCAGTACCATACTGTTCTAATTCTGCTCTCTGCTTTGTTTGTGCAGAGCTGGAGGACCCAGTCACAATCCCTGCCACTTTCCATCTGTGTAAAGGTGAGATATTTTACCTGTGAGTGTAACAGTGCAATCACAGTATCAGCACAGCACTAACCCACAAAGTGTCTGTGGAAGCCAAGATAACTTGAATGCTTCCTACATTTTATATTCATGATTGAAGAGGTTCTGGTTTAGGCTCGTATTTATGTTGTTCAGCCTGTATCAGTTTCTATTGCTGCTTTCTACAGCCACAGTCACTTTTACATTGTCGTTTATTTACTGTTGTATTGACTTCTGTACACCCGTGCCATGTCTGAAATCCATGATTACATGCTGTATTCTGTGTTTGTGGTTTCTCAGGTCTGTTTCCAACTAAATGTGGGGAAGCATCAGGAGCATCAGATTAAGAGATATTTTATCATGAAGCCCAGATTAAGTGTTGTCTGCTTATCCAGAAAGTCTCAGTTATTACCTGTAAGTATATTTTCTAAGGCATTCATTCTGTTAGTTTAGTCCAGCCTATTCACCCAGGCTACGTTCACGTTACAAGCAAATGTGTCTCAAATCAGATTTTCGTTTGTTCTCACTAGGGTTGGGACTCGTTAGGATTTTAACGATTCCGATTCCTTACCGATTCCTTCTTAACGGTCCGATTCCTTACCGATTCCTCTTACCAATTCCTACATTATATTCATTATACTTGCTATACTTAAACAAGTATATAATAAACACAAATGCAATCATACAAATACAAAAACTTTATTCTAACTGTTGCACAGTACAATTAGATGAAAATACACATTTGTGTGTGGTGTGTATTTCAGATTTAGAGCTTGTATCATCTCCCTGAGAATATGTAACAACAAAAAGTGATTCTCTGATTTCTACAGTAACACTATTACCTCAAATTAACCACAACAATGTAATAAAAAATACTTATATGCATTCATGCTTGGGCACTGTTATTTACGTGACAACACCTGAACAGAACACACACACACATTGGCTGTTTGTTTCTATCTCTCCCCTCGCTGGAAGTGGACCTCCGGCCGCCCGCCTCCGCCTTGATTAAACGCTGAAAATTAAATAAAAGAGGGAGACAGGTGTCTCCTATTTTATCTTATTTTGTTATATTTCTACCACTCCCCTCGCTGGAAGTGTCGGACCTTCCGCCGCCCACTCTCGCCGCACGCTCCCGCCGCACACTCCCGCCGCACACTCCCGCCGCACGCTCCCATCTCAAACACGGAGGTCTCCCTCTCTGCTGAGCGCCCGGTGCATGCCCGGCCTGTTAAATAGCCTGTAACCATGACAACTGTGTGACACAAACTCAGTGCTTTAGTGATTAGATAATGTCGGGCTCGGTCGGGTTCGGACAGAAATATGTGGCCTGTGCCGCACTCTAATGGAAATGCACATGACGTTTTATTTTTTTTTATTTTTTTTTTTTTAACAATCTAGGAATCGTTTGCAGGAACCGTTACACCAAATGTGATGGAACTTGACGGAACTTTGGACCCGGTTCCAAAAAAGAACCAGATCCGGATCCCAACCCTAGCTCTCACGTGAAACATATCGCATCTTTCAGAGTAGTGTGCACACACAAATCAAAATGTTTTCCATCAGATCTCGGCCACTTTCATATAGGGTCCTAAATCTGACATATATTTGATTTTTGCCATGTGACCGCTGTGAGAACGGTCATATTGGAATTCATGTGTGTTTTTCCGATACATCCATGTTTTTTCCATGTCAGACTTTACTACGCAGATGCAGATCACTCACCATACGGTCAGTACATTTACATGACATTAAAGAAAACTGATTCATTGTGTTAGTCTCACTAAAACCAGACCAAATCAAATTTCTCAAAGTTGGACTAACACACCCAGATACTGCAATTAGGAGTCAAATTATTCCTGTGTGTATACATGCAGTTGGACCAAAACTGGCTAAGGCGCTTTGCGCATACTCCGCACTTTCCGACCCTGGCTTTGACCTGGAAGTCAAATAGCATGAAATGCATAATAGAAGAAGAAACTGGTAACCACATGGCGAAATCTACATCCAGAGCCATGCATTTTTGGCCGAATGAGGAGACACAGTTCATGCTGTGTCAGCTGACAGAATTAAATATTTAACAGCACAGACAAAATGTACAGAGCTGTTAAGTTATCCGCCATGGTACCAGTTTGACTAGCTAACTGTAGCTAACTTTTTTGTTGGCTCTTTGTAGATGTAATGGGTCAACCGGAAAAAGGTCCAGTACTAACAAACTGAAAGGGGGCATATCGCCACCTATGGTAGCGGAGTCTGACATACTTCTGTAAATAAATCGATTCCCCTCCCATGCTTGTGTACTGGGACAAGGACAGTAGTCCAATTAAATGGCCTTGTTGAGCTATAACTGTAACTCCACTTAACTGTGCATGGATTTTGGTACAAGTTTTGGTACAGTCTGTTGAAGCTACAGAAAGCTGCTGTAAATATACTGCAGCTGCAGTAGGCCACCCCAGTCTCCAGCCAATAGAGACTGTCTGACTCTCTCTGACAGGGTCAGCTTGCCTACATGTTGTGACGTCACTAGGGCTGTAGTAAACCAAAGAAAATCTTAGTTGTACATAATCTGAAACTAGTTGTACATAATCTTAAACTAATCAATTAGTCGTAAGCATTTTTACTTCTGCGGTGGTGTGTCTGTGTCACTCTGCAGTTACTGAAAAAAATGAAAAACCCTCGCACACTGCAGGGCTCCTATTTAGTGAGATTTATTTCACCTAGTCTGCAGTTACACCTCCAAAACACTAGTTGGCGGTGGATGACTCTGTTAAGTTTTGTAAAGTTTAGTTGATTCAAAACACACGTTAAATATAGCTTAATAGAGACAATTTCAAATACAAGTACGCAAATCAGCTTCAGTATAAATTAGGGCTGCACAATTAATCGTAATAAAATCGTGATCTCGATTCATATGCATATGCGATCTAATTTTTCAATGATGGCGATTCTGCCGGCCCCGCCCGTGCCGGGAGTCGGGACATCTGCATGAAAACAAGCGCTCCCAACGATGCAGCGTTATACCACGTGATGCAGAGCGACAGCTGGCCGGCAGTTTGGAAAGCAGCGAGACGGGGAAACACACTGCTCACTGTAGCCTCAGTTTGTGCCTCATACAGATCTGCTGGTGAAGTTAACTTAGCGTTAGCAAGCGTGATAAAAGACGGCAGAGAGGCGACGTGCAAATAAACCAAAGATTTATTAATTTTCTGTAGCAGTAAACACTAGGGATGGGTCACGATTTTCGAATTTTCGAATAGTCGTTTTATTTTGAAAAATCGTTTTTTTTTTAATGCGACTATTACTATTCATCGTCTTAATTCCCCCCTTTATTTGACATGCAATTCAGCTCCTAACCGCACGAGGGCAGTATAGGATTGCTACAGCGGTGTGAGATGGGCTACCAGCTAGTTTGATGCTCTTCTACAAACAGGAGAAACATGCAGAGACTACTACAGTCATCAAAAAGTTCCGTGTGGAACAACTTAGACAAAATAAACGAAAATGAGGTGCAGTGCAAACTCTGTGAGGCAAAGCTTGCGTATCACAAGTCTACAACAAGTATGCACAGTCATTTGAGAGCGAGGCACGCAGGAGGCGGCGATTATTCGAAAAATCGTCGAATAGTTGCCATGATTTTCGAATAGTGTTTTTGCTTGTGCTGCCCATCCCTAGTAAACACATGGGCTGATAACAAATGTGTTAACCAACTATGCTAAAGTTTTACAAGCTATTCAGGGCTGCCTATGATAACATTAACATGACAAACAGCAAGGCTACGGCAAGTTAACATACTGACACTCCTCAGACAGACAGACAGACACACACACACACACACACACACACACACACACACACACACACACCGGACAGCCTCTCAGTTCTTAGCCGCTAACGTTAGCTCATGTACAACACAGGTACCACACAAAAACTTTTACAAAGGGTCATAATGTGCTTCTAGTGACTGTCAAATTGCCAGCGAAAGTTGTTTACACTGCCTGCTCTCATGGGACAAAGATCCTCTTAGAAGAAAGACGGATCACTCTGCTCTGCCGCCAGAACAAAGTGGGAGGCAAAGATCCTCTCTGAGGAAGAGGGTTCACTTTGCTGCAGGGTTCACCAAAACATTTTTAGGGGGCCAAGCCCGAGGGGCCAAGCCCGAGGGGCCTAGGACCAGCGGTGCTAGGAACCCTATTGTTTTTGTAAAGATTTTTATTTTTATTCTTCCGTAGGTAAAAGTGGTGCTGCAGGCTAAACCGTGCAAGGGAGGGCGGTGCAATTTGGAGGGGTGGTCCAAACCCCTGCACGTACCTCAGACGCAAAAAAAACTCTGCCTGCAGGGGGCGCTATAACCTAGGCCAATGCGTTTTTGCCTATAGCTTCCACACCGTATGTTGCACATTCAAAAATCTTGTATCCCCAGCTTCCCTGAATAGAGCTGAATCACTTTGCTATAGGCCACACCCACTTGCGCCTAGGAAGTTTTTTCGCAAAATCGCGAAAACTGGAAAACCTACTTTTTCGAACTTCTCCTTGGGATTTTGTCCAATCTGCGTGAAACTTGACATATACACTCTTCTACTGGACCTGATCTACAGTTATCAAAAGAATTTTATTCGGTCAAAAAATGCGCAAATTATTAACAAACAAACTTCTGTAGCTACCTATAAAAATGCAAACTGTTGGATATCTCGGTCAAACTAAATGCTATTAACACCAAATTTGAGATCATTGGTTGGCATAAGACTGTGAGGGTATGAGCCGAATTTGGCGAATTTTGGCAACTAGGGGGCGCTACAAATATGGTAAGTTTATATCTCAGGTATGATGTAGGGCCAATTCTGAGGTCATATCTTGAAGTTGGTCATGACTGGTCAATGTGGGCGTGGCTTATTACAAGATAAACAACAAACATTAATTTCAGCTAAACTATTATGCTGAGGGCTTTGAAATTTTAAGGGTACATATAGAATAGGACACAGATCTTCCGTACCAAAAATTGCAGATGTACTCCACTAGGTGGCGCTATAACGGATGCAAACGCGTTTTTGCCTGCAACGTACACATTTTAAATGACACTTTCACAAACATTATATCCATGTGTTCCCTGGTTAGAGCTGGGTTTTCTGACACAGGCCCCGCCCACTTCTGCTTTACATTCTCTTTGCTAATTCGCCACATGTCCAAAACCTACTTTTTCGAACTCCTCCTACATTTTAAGTGCCACCTGCCTGAAAATTTGCACATAGAATCTCCAGATGTGTCTGATGAAAAGTTATCAAAAGAATTTTGGCACTCCAAAAAATGCGCTTGTTACAACCAAACCATCTTTTTTGCTAGCTAAAAATCACACATTGTTTCATATTTCGCTCAACGTAGATGCTTTCAGCATCAAACTTAAGTCACTCGTTCCCGAG